CAAGAACTCTGACCACTAGACCACAGAAGCGGTCTAAAAATATTTCTAATTAAAAAAATGTTTAAGATTCCCTCGTCGTCGTGATGTAAAATTCTGTTGTTTTGCCGGATACTGTATTATTAAATTAAAATGTTTATTCAACTTCGCAATAGTTACAAGCGTTATATGATTGCAATGAGTAACACTAAAACGGATCCATATTTGGATATCTCAATAACATGAGATGTACATTTAATGAAACTGCCTGAAGATGATCCCAAATGTGGACCGAAACATGTAAAGTAAGTACAGGCACCCCTGTAACAGGCCGTGGAGACCTATAGGATTGTGAGATGTTGAGGTTCCCACATTTTCTAGACAATCGGCTCACAGATGGCGGTAAGGCTGTCAGCCTTACGCGCCGGCCGTCCTTTACCCCGAAGAATCTTCCTGGTACTCATTTCTGCTAGAGGCTCAGTAGACCCCAGGGCCATAGTGCGGCTGGAAGGATTAGGTCAATTGAAAAACTCCACCTCATCGAGATTCGATCCCGCGACCTTCGGGCGTATGTAGCAGTTATTAAATAAAACCAACGTAAATAATTCCATCGGTGTTGTGTTGACGGCCTGAATACCACAAAACAAAATACAGTGAAGTACATTTTCTTGTAGAAAGCTGAAGAAGCCGATGGAATCAAGTCTGACAGGCGTGCGCTCTTGTACGTCTTTCTCACTGACGCGTGACTGGCTGTTCCATGCGGCATGACTTAAGAATGTAGGTGATAGTGAGGCCCCGACTGGCGCCACTCTATCCGCCATGGGTGACATGAGTAGGAATATTAGTGGAATGCTAATTGGCAGGAGAAACCCGAAGCCCGTCCGTGCTACAAGAGAAGGAAAGGGGACACCACATATGCGTACAATGTTACTGCTTAGGGTGACGTTCTAAGCCCTATCTTCACAATGGCAATTGTACCATGTTGGGGTTCAGTTCTGAAACACAAAAACTTTAACTGACGCTAGTAAGGAGGTTGGTCTAGACGTAAACACAGAGAAAATTATGTAAATGTTGCTGTCTCGTCACCAAAATGCAGGTCAAAATCATGACATGAAGATAGGAAATAGATGCTTTGAAAATGTGGCACAGTTCAGATATTTTGGTACGACGATAACAGATCAAAACCTGATTCAGGAGGAAATTAAGAGACTGAACTCGGGCAATGCTTGCTACCATTCAGTCAAGAACCTTTCGTCTTCTCGTCTGCTGTCCAGAAACATAAAAAAAATTATAATATACAAAACTACAATTTTGCCCGTGGTTCTGTATGGGTGTTAAACTTGGTCTCTGACATTAAGGGAGGAACTTAGACTGAGTGTGTTTGAGAACAGGGTGTTGGGGAGAATATTTGGACCGAAAAGAGATGAAGTGACAGGTGGTAGTGTGTACAGGCTGTAATCGTATTTCAATCGGGCGGCTATAGTTTTTAAATTTAAAATTTAAAATTTACGTGTCTCGTGACTTGTCATATCTTCCACATTACTCGCGAGCATAGAGAGTCGCACGAGCACAAGTAATGTGGACGCGCCTTATGGCAGGAGGCTATATTTTTCTCCGAAATGTCTAATTTTCATCGGATTACAAGGCAACACATCTCAGAAGACAGAACTCCTGCTGTTATCATACTCAGATGCATATTTATATGCAACCATTAACTCTTTAACATGCTGTGGAGGCCCTAAGGGTTGTGAGACGTCGAGGCTCCCACATTTTCTAGACAATTGGCTGACAGATGGCGGTGAGGTTGTCAGCCTTCGCGCCGGACGTCCTTTACCCTCAGAAAATTTCTGTTAGATGTTGAGTCGATCCGAGGACCATAGTACGGCTGGAAGGATTAGGTCAATTGAAAAATTCAGTGAACTCTTCGGGAATCGAAACCGTGACCGTCTTGTAGCACAGTGCCTCAACCAACTACGCTACCGCATGCCCCTCCATGGATTTGAAAGGTCTTAGTATCTCCTGTCCTTTTACGGGCAAATTAAAAAAAAAATGACATTTTTTCCTGAGAGAACACCGCTTAGAAAAAGATGCTTATATGGAACTCACTGCAAAGGAAAAAGCTGACAGGTGCAGAGGCTTCTCAACTACGTGTTCCACGTTTCACAGAATTTGCGGTTGCTCAGAAAAATGCATCTAAATTTAACAGACGTGACGTTAGGAAGACAGGGCTTTAACAATAATTCGCCAAACGTTAAGGCCAACCCAGCGACACGATGGAACGTAACCCCGTGAACCCAGCAACTGCCACAAATTCTCCTCCGAATGTAACGGACAACCCTGGGAGCCACTACCTTGAAAGTTGAATTTCTCAGCAGCATGAACTCGCTCGTCACGCCTTACTCCTCTGCATTATGCAATGCATCTGGATCGGTCTGGATTGCTCGGGTCTTCCGATCAACGCGCCTCACAATATACGGCTGTACTCAAGTCCCAACACTTTATTGACCCTCCATTATTAAGTGGGAAAAGGGGGCCCTCTACCGCAAGGGTTCATTTTTCAAAAGGTTGGTAGCAGATTTGAATGGAGGAAATGCAGGTAATTTGTTTACAAATTTGCGTTTCTGCAGTTTAACAGCGTTCTTACTGTCACAGAGTAAAAGTAAAGCTATATCCCTGTAACAGGCCGCGGAGGCCCATGGGGTTGTGAGACGTCGAGGTTCCCACATTTTCTAGACAATCAGCTCACAGATGGCGCCTGCCGCCCTTTACCCCCAAGAACATTCCAAGAATATTCCTCGTACTCATTTCTCTTAGAGGCTGAGTCGATCCCAGGGCCATAGTGCGGCTGAAAGGATTACGTAAATTGAAAAAAAAAATCCACCTTATGGGGATTCGATCCCGCGACCTTCCAGCTTGTAGCACTGTGCCTCAACCAACTACGTTATCGCGTGCCCCACTGTCAGAGAGTAATCAGGTAAAATTAAAGAAGATTTATTTTTGTTACTGTTATTTCGCATGTGTCCTTTTTAAAACACTGGGGTTTTAAAAAATCCAAATGCTGGAGGACGGGCATGCGTGGCTTACCCCTCCCCTTGCCAGGGCCCATGCAGTGGACCTCAAGCACAGATGGAAAACACATCGACAACTTCCAACTCCATGGAACGCAGTCACTTAATGTTTCTTTTTTGTGGATTACTTAACGACTCTCTACGAATGGTAGGATGAATGAACTGGAAAGGATTTACAACGAAGCGGTCGTGGCCAACTTAGGCACTACGCCGGCAACGGCCTGGAGAAAGATCGGAAAACAACGAGAAGCATTCGAACCTTACATCTCCTGAACATGAACTAGTCGTTTTAACTGTCAACAGCCTCCTTCACTTTCTCCACACGCCTTCTAATTCATTATTCACTAATAATTCTGACTCCATAACGAGACACTGGCAGCGTCATTATATAAACTATAAAAAAAATAAAGCTATCCCTGTAATAGACCGTGAAGGCCCACAGGGTTGTCGGACGTTGAGGGTCCCACATTATATAAACAATCGGCTCAAAGATGGCGGTAACGTTGTCAGCCTCATGCGTCTGCCGCGCTTTACTCCCCAGGAAAATTATTTCATTCCTGGTCCTAATTTCCGTTAGAGGCTGAGTCGACCCCAGGGCCATAGTGCGGCTGGAAGGATTAGGTCAACTGAAAAAAATCCAAATCCATCGGGACCTGAACCGGCGACCTTCCGGCTTGTAGCATAATGCCTCGACCAACTACGCCACCGCGTGCCCCTTATATAAACCATAATTTATAAAGTAAATAATATTTCTATGTGGTTAGCAGGGAACTGATCTACTACACACTCCAGCCCCTCACAGAAGTTATCCTTAGCATCAGTTGGGGCGCGCACACACCGAGAACATCACATTTTATCCCCGTAACCGTTGTATTTATTCTTTCATGTATGGAAACGCCCAGTCCCTAATTGACAGTTATCATTTCCACTGCGAAAAGTATATTTATCTTCTGGTTCAGTGACACCCTTGTCCCACATGACCTCTTGCACTAGTTAAAGCTACTGTTCTCAGAGACTACTAACTCCAAATCTAAATGTCCATCTATTGCCGCACTGCCCGTTCCAAAGAATATGTTCTATTCCGAGCTTCTTTCTTGCATGCTATTTTTTTATGTAGTTATTAACCCCATGTCAAACCTGCAATCTGGAGGGCCACCCCTAGTTTGCTGTCCGGGACTGCTTGTTTAATACGCTCGCAGCTATCCTCCGTGTCTGAAGGCCTCTAAACTGCGCTATGCCCGAAGTCAGGGGCAAAGAACTTCATTGAAGAACACAGAAACAATTTCATTTTCTCAGAAGCGGTGTATACATTAGTGGCAATTTCAAGTGCTGTATACACAAAAGGATACATAAATACAGGACGTAAACAAACATCGGAAGCGACGTTGTAACTTGACACTCCAGGCCTTCTGCTGACTGGAATTCGCTGCTGTGTTGGGGTGAGGGTGACTTGGGGAAAAATTGTGAAGAAAATTCTGCGTTCCAATCCTGTCTGCTCCTACACACAAACCTGTTTTGTGTTACTCAGGGCTATTGGGATGAGGAAATATGTCATATCAGGAGCGTCCACTCCGATAACACAGACAGGATGTAACGGTATTGATAAAACAGTGGCGGTATTTTCAGAATTCGTAACATCTACACTCTAATAGTACGAATTATATAAAGATGTCCCCGCTCCCCACTTATACAATACCGCTTGCCATAAATCAAAATTTTACACATTAAACTAAACTTTTTTAACTAAACCGCTGGCCGGTTTCTACAGAACCATGCCCATTCATCGTGCCTATATAATACATGTGTTAAGGGAAAGCTTTCATATTCTTACAATATGTCGAACCTACATACTACACAAAAACGCAATATATGGTAGCACATTTCTAGCTGTATCAATTCCGAACAGGTTATGAGAAATTATAACTAAACTACGATAAAATATTAAAATTCTCTCACCGTCATGTTACGTTCAACCAAATATTCGAACGAACACATCGTATAGACGACGTATGCACGCAGGATCTCCCACGTAGTCTTGCTCTTAAATGCTGCGACATGATCTTCAAAGGTAAGATCCAAAGGATCACGAGGATGCTGTTGGGATGATTTACCTTCGACTGCTGTGTCATAACCGATAGCACTCGCGGCATGTGTTGATTTCAATATATTACAACCAACGAAGGCAGGGGGTCTTGAAAATTTTACACGAACTGAATTTATTCCTTGCTCACTGAGATGAAGACCGCTAATGCCGAACTTACGATACACATTGGACCTGATTACAGCCCTCAAAAACGCCATTCCTTTCTCGCCAGAAATTTGATTTCAACTGCCCTTTCGTAAGTAACAACGATGCACAGTATGTTTATCAGCAGTGTCAATAACGTGCCGTTAAATTTGACCTTTGCTTCTTCCTCACCACACTACCCTTCGTACGGAACTGCCACTAGTGAGAAAGGCTGCTCCGGATCACAATGGGAAACCGCGACTGAATATCTTTTTTTTCTTCCCGTCCGAACGACAAACTTTTGCTTACAGATATCCTCCGCCACGTAATAAGTGGAATATTTCGCTTTGTAAGCGTCTATGCCCACATAATTAATGCATGTTATAAAGGTCTAATAGATATTTCACAATATTACTGAGTTTGCTATATAAACTATACTTTTAGTCCATTCGATATAAACACACATCCAGATTTTGGCACTGCAAATTTTCATCAATGCTACTGACGTCACAGAACATGATTCACTCAGCATTGGAGGTGTGTCTAGGGGACTAGTTCTCATTGGCTGCTTGAGTCACGAGTTGAAATTCAGTGTCATGGCTCCTGTGTGGTGTTATGAAAGATGTTTGGTGTGTTGAAGCGAAACAGAAATTATAATCCCCTGATTATGAATGTACACAGTATTCTTAGGTTCCGTGTATGTAATTCCAGACTACTTTATTATATCTAATTTCGTATATTATGAAAGACGTAAGTTTATGAAGAATAATTATGCCTTCTTCAAGCACACTGACTTAAAATTATTAGTCTCAATTTTTTAAATTTTCTGCAGAGTTTGACTTAAAAACTCCAGTATGATGAAATTAATTCATGTAACTGTGATGGTCCAGGGCCAAATTTGGGACGAAATCCTGATTTCTCAAGATCATGTATTATTTATAACATTTAGAAGCAGCGATTTTGCACACCTGGAATTATGGGAAAGTATTAAAGCTAAAGAATTAATCATGTTAGAGCATAAATGTGCTACACCACTCAAATTTAATAATAGTATACTGAACATCAATGGACAAGATATTATGGAAAAGGTAAACAAATTAGATATTTCATCCCATGAGGAAGGTGATACTGATATGTTATCGGAGCAGAAATTCAAGATATCAAGGTGTGTACAAAAACTGTACATAAATGGGTATCTTCTGTCTTTATTTGTCAAAACGTTACAACGATCTGAAGTGTACAGGAGAAGTGTTGTTAAACATTTCAAGGAGTGCATCGGAAAGACAGGAAGAATATCCCATCCAAGTGGCATAATTAAAGTCAATATGAAGTTGGTGTGTCCCCATAAGCACATAATTGACTTTTCATGGTATGTTTAGACAAGTTATATGCTTTATGTCTTGTATCTCGAAAATTCTGATTCATATGAAAACAAAAACTGTGCAAAGTGAGAAATCATGTCTGTGTTTAGTTAAACTGCTCCTCTCTCGAAGAGTATAGTCTACCAGGCTGTAATGCCATATCATGTAGGAAAGCCTGACAGCTTCTCTCCTCCATTCCATTCTTTAAACCTAACCTGTTACAACATTTGGCTTTGCCCTTGCTGAAAGCCTCGACACAATTGCTCCTTGTGCTTGGGGTTGCTAAACCTGCTCCAAAACCTGGCTCAAGAACAGATTCACAATGTACTTAAGCCTACTGCCAAATAATCTGGTGGAACATGCTGCTCCCATCTTCAGGGTAGAAATGAGAGGGGAGCAGAAGAGTTTACATTAAGATGCATGCTGTAGAGAAGTCCATCATCCCAACTGGTGGGACCCGACAGTTGAGTGAGTGGCAAGCAAGGTCCTGAAAATAATTCAGTCGTACCTGCATTTTAAGTACAGGCTTCTCCAAAACTGCACTATAATCATATTTCTGCCAACAGAACTCTGTTGTTTTTATGTAATTGTAGTATTACTAACAATGCCAATACACAAATGCTTGTGCCTGTGTGCACCAGCCAGTAGCTGTAGCATTCACAAGATGGACATCTCTCACCTTCTACATATAATATCTTTATATGAGACATCTTCAACCATTATACCTCTTATGCACAAATAAGTAATAAGGGCTATCAACTGTAACTAGTTTAATACGAATAAAAGTTTATCTTTACATGTTCTACCCACAACTCCCCATCATCAGAAGGCATGGCCAACACTGTAAGGGAACTGTTTTACATGTTGATAAAACATATGTTGTCACTATAAAGGTACTTATTTTAGAAATCAAGACTAAATTGTTAATACAGTTGAATTAGATAAATTAGTGAAAATAAATTAAAAAAACGCCTTGCTGAGTAGACTAATTCTGTACACCCACGTTCTCAAGCGGTACCTCCATTGGGGTTCATGTGAACTCCCTGCAACTGACGTGGAGTAGACATTACATTTGTAGTTTTCAAAGTGTGGGATGTTCTCCCCATGGGTGGGGGGGGAGCATATTCTGGGCATTACATGGTAAACTTGACTTGATTATAATTGTAAAAATGTCAGAGACTGACTCATTTCATGCATTTGTAAAATAATATATGTTAATTTAAAAAAACTGCTCTCTACATACATACAGGAAGTTAAGAAAGGGGGGAATGATGAAATCTTTGCCAAGCTGAGGGGGCACCATTACATAAGTTTGGAAGCCACCTTCCATGAATGATAACTATATTATTAAAATGTATATAATCATACAAATTCACTTCTTGGTAAAAGAGAAGCTTCTTTCTACTGTGGCAGGAATACATTTTCTTGACAAAATGACTGGTGGCGCACAAGATGCAAAAGCAGACAGAGATACTGGGTTTTCGGACTTTGTCCAGCATCTGGATTCTAAATAACTAAGAAAAAAACACGTTTCGGAAACTGGATCTGTTTCCGTCCTCAGGTGAGGGAAGACACCTATTCTGTTGGGTCCCTTAGAAAAAAGCTAGCCTCAATCACTGGACGTGTTTCCAGTCCCTCACCTGAGGATGGAAACAGATCCAGTTTCTGAAATGTGTTTTTTCTTAGTTATTTAGAATCCGGACGATGGACAAAGTCTGAAAACCCAGTATCTCTGTATGTTATACACCGTCGTCAGAACCCTGTAGTATCTAAGATGCAAAAGGTTGAAAATCTCTGCCATAGAGTGCCCCTTATTGATCCTACTGAACATGTAGTGTACCGAACCTTTGTGTTCCAGGAATGAGCGAATTGAAAAACTGGTACTACAGAGAAGGGAGTTGGATAATGCTATGTCATGGTTGTCAACCCTAGGCGGCGCTTTCTCGGCACTGGGAGAGGAATTCAAACACTGTGTAAGTACATAACACAATCTCAAACAATGAAACCTTCATGTAACACACATCAGGAAAATAAATACACAGTTTGAGAAACTCAACAGAAGAGACCATTTGGGAAACCTAAGTGGTTCATGAATATTTATTAACAGCCAGCCACTAGTCCCTAACCTGAGTGAGATGAGTCCAGTACACACTCTCCCATTCTCTTTAAGATCCATTTTAATATTGTAGCGTGTAGACCCTCTACTGGTTGATGACCTCGAAACAAATGATGAAATAGCATTAGCTGCTGGCAACATATTGCTAAAGAGCAAGTATATGCAGCAGTTAATGGGTAATGCCTTCACAAACATTCCCACAGAAACAATTGGAGTACCACATAAATGGTGTTTTCTATGTGGTCTGTGCCAAGGGGTTATCAATGGGAAAAGTTTAGAAGTTATCAGTTGTAGGGGAGCCTGTGAGGAGGAGACTTAGTGCAGTTGAGAATGGAAGCTGAAGAATCTCCATTGCTAAGATGTTACCAGGCAACCACTAGTGACAGCAGACTGCAAAAATACGTAGCATTTGCTGTAGTGCTTTGTAAAGTGTGAAAATTAGTGATAGTGTTACAGTTATGACACCTGTTAAGAGGTCAATAAATCCAATCCAAAATCCTGTCTATAGTCACTCTTAACAGGTGACAATATTATCCCATCTATGCCTACATATTCCAAATGGTTCTTTATCTTCATGGTTTCCTACAAAAACTGGTCACTAGATAAGCCATAAATAAGTATGATTTGAACTGGTGACGTTGTGATCAAATGGTGAGCTTTTGTGATCCATAACAGGACATTTCTTGAAAAGGGAAGACTCTGAATAGGTACTCAGTTACTAGAATTTACCAAACATGGAAGGTGATTCACCTGTCCCATAATAACCACTAACATACTCCAGTTTCTTATAGCTGAGTAATCATTAGCAGGCAGACAGGGGAAGATATTACCATGGATCTTATGGGAAAAGGGCATGAGGCTGTGAACTAAATTTGACTGGCTCAAGATAGGGTCCAGTGGTAGGTGTCTTGTGAACTTGGTGGTGAACCTTCTGGTTCCATAAAAGTTGACCAGTTGAACAATATTCCTGACATTAGAATGCAGGACACTTTGAAGCAGAAAGTTATCACAACATTACACCCATTAGCACTCATCCATTCTGCACACCTGACACTGAAACTGGTTCTGGTGTGTATCATGACCACACTCAGCTAACTCCTAAAGTCTCACTTTCTGAATCCTGATGATTGCAGGCAGAGATTGCGGGCCGCATTTCAGTTAAACAGTTCAACATTGCACTGAGTCTGGGAGACCCTACGATTGTGGCTCGATGTAAACTTTATCTTGCCCTCAGTTTAGTACAAAGAGGACATCTGGTGCCTGCCCGCCGCATCATAGAACAGCAGTATTATCTAGCATGTTCTGCTCCTGTTTTGGACACACAGCTGATTTCCATATGTCTCGGAATATGGGCTAAACTGAAATATGAGCATCACAGGAGGAGGACAGAGCAAAGAGGAAAGAAGTGACAAGGTTGCTACAAACAAACTTTGTCACTATCATCCAAATTTGTGTCGTGGATGTCATTCAGTTTTACTCCTGACGACACAAGAAAATTGGTATGAAGCTCTCAAGGTTTTGTCTTCACAGAGAATTTTCTGACAGCTGAAAGGTGTTCTGCAACAAAACGAAAGCTTATTATACGCCAGGGTTGGCAAACCGTTTTTCTGCATAGTGCCAACAGTCGTTGTTGCTCCAGTACCACCTCGCGGACTGAACGAGACATCTACTGTTGCACGTGTATTACACAGTTCTTCTGTTCTTGGCATCTGTGTGGTTTTGAATATAACACAAATGATATTTATGGCTTAAGATGGCTTCTTAAATTTGTCTTATGTATTTTGTGGTTAAAAATAATCAACGTGATAATACAGATGTTCCTCGATTTATGTTATATCCATTCCAAAATAAAGTTGCAGAGTGTAAAATTATATATATCAAACTTTGTTTTGCCCTCTTGCCTAGTACTCCTCACTCACAAGCCACAAATCTAGTCGCATTTCTCCTCACCTCTCTTGATTGGTCAGTAAACAGTTCATATTGAAAGGGGCACCATTGAAACTATTCTGAATTGGCTGATAGCAATAAAACGAAATAGCATTTTTTCAAACTCTCATATAATGAGTATTGCCTGTACACTGCATCTGATGTTATCACAGCAATGAGTAAGAAAAGTTCTATCTTCAAGCATGTAATGCTGTATGGTCTAGCATATGTCCAGTGTTTCAGAGGAATGTACTGCCTCCATCATCAGGGCTGAAAAGTAAGTCAAGAAGAGCTCAAGAGTGGGCTGAGAAAGAAACCAGAGCTTTACTTGCTGCCTGCTTCATACTGGTTTCTTGCCTGGCTTATTCTTTGACCCTAAAGATGGAGGTGGTACGTTAAACTTTACTGGACTGCACAACCTTACATCCCAGAAGACAGGACTCTTCAAGACCGTACTTCTTGATATTGAGGGCAGATATTTAAAGTAACAGCAAAAAGTTATGAGAAAAAATTATAAATCAGCTCCAGCAGTTGCTATAGACGAAATCTGTAATCACCAGTGCCAATCAATATTTCATTGGGTGCCAATGGTTCACCATCTGTTACAGGTACCACAAAAGCCCAGTACTATCAGGAAGTACATTAGCAGCGAATCCTAACTCATAGTTTTCTCTAGCATTGGGCTGTAAATTGGCAAAACTCAGTGCAGGACTTTGCACATCATTGTCCACCACTAGAAAACTTTCAAGAATTTCTTCAGGGACAATTTAGACTGTAGCACACTGACAAAGGAAATGCGGCACATTGAATAAAACTGTGTTATGTATTATATTTAGTTATTTCATATAACAGCAATAACAGCTGAGATACATGGAAAAAAGTTCATGTTTTAAAAACTGAAAAGAGGTTTTAACACTGGAAAATCATGGAAATTAATTTTCATTACAAATAAACTTTAAAAATGTTACATTGTACAGGATTGCACAACAGGAAAATCCACTCTGATCTTAAAATACTGCTTAAAATGCTAAAAATATTCACATTTACAGAGTTAGAGAGAGGTCCATTCCTACGTCTGCAACATTATCATCCAATATACATTTGTATATTGTCTACATGACCTTTACACACAACTGTGGTCAATTATTACATTAGTACTTTATTTTAGCAGCACATTTTAAACCATACTGCTCATCTTTGGACTAAATTACATTTTTAGTGAAATCAATGTTGTCAATACCTGCATTACCTTAATTTCTAGATTTCATGTATAACTAACTACATGGCACTGAGCCCTTCTTGATAAGCCGCCAATTGTACAGCTACTCAAGAACTTTCCAGCATTTTATGGAACCCGAAGGTTCATCACCATGCTCACAAGAGCGCTTCACTGGTCCCTATCCAGAGCCAGATGAATCCAGTCCATACCATCCCATCACTCTAAGATCCATCTTAACATTGTCCATCCACCTATGTCTTGGTCTTCCCAGTGGTCTCCTTCCTTCTGGCTTTCCTCTTCTACCCCCATTTGTGCTACATGCCCTGCCCATCTCATCCTCCTTGACTTCATCATTCTAATCATATTTGGCGAAGAGCACAAGTTATGAAGCTCCTCATTATGCAGTTTTCTCCAACCTCCTGTCACTTCATCTCTCTTTGGTCCAAATATTCTCAACACCCTGTTCTCAAACAACCTCAGTCTATGTTCCTCCCTTAACGTCAGAGACCAAGTTTCACACGCATACAGAATCACAGGCAAAATTATAGTTTTCTATATTCTAATCTTTACTTTTTCAGACAGCAGCCAAGAAGACAAAAGGTTCTGGACTGAATGGTAGCAAGCATTACCAGAATTCAGTCTCCTCTTAATTTCCTCCTGAATCAAGTTTTGGTTTGTGACTCATTCCCAAAAATGTGAACTGTGCCACGTTTTCAAGTGGTATGTTAGCTATCTTTATGTCATGATTTTGCCCTGATTCTGGTGATGAGACAGCAACATATACTTAGTTTGTCCTGTTTACTTCTAGACCAGCCTCCTTACTGCTGTCAGTTTCGTTATGTTATCTATGTTACCACCCAGTAGATTCACATCATCAGCATAGACCAGGAGCTGATGTGTCCCGTTTAATTTCAGTCCCACCTGGTTTTCCTGAACCTTCCTGATGACATATTCTAAAGTAAAGTTGGAAAGTAGTGGCAGTAAAGCACCTCTTTGTTTTAGACCATTCTGGATAGAAAAATTACCATACAAATATGTACCTATATGGATTTTATTATAGGCTTCGTTTAAACACATTTTAATCAGCCTAACTAGTTTCATTGGTACCCCAAATTCTATGAGAGTATTTTACAATACTTCCCTCCTAACTGAATCATAGACTTTCTTGAAGTCTACGAATAGCTGCTGTACTGTCTCATTGTACTCCCATTTTTTTTTTCCTCCAGTATCTGAAGAATGCAAAAGATCTGATCAGTTGTTGATCTCTTCCGTCAAAACCCACACTGATGATCCTCAATAATTTCATCTATGTATGGACTTAACCTTGAGAGAAGAATATTGGATAAAACTTTGCATGACATTGATATCCCATGATAATTACTACAGTCAAGACTATATATATATATATGTGTGTCTTGAAATCTGGCTGAAATAAATGTAACATTACCTAAAGATGACTGACATGGTCAAAAGATGTTAACATAAATTTATGTAACTGACCACAATGCACAGTGGTTGTATGGATGCTATGCATAGGCATATTAACTAAAAATACAACATGATGCTCAATTATAGTATTTTGTTTAACCATTCATTTGTTCAGCATGATACCTGCTGGTACTGAGCTTCTCTCTGGTAAGAAAACTGACTCCTACTGCATGATGTAATCAAATATTACATCCATGGTCAAAAAATGCCATCAGTAAAACTGCTTTTCTTACCTCATACTACAACGGCTGTCACATTTACAAAAATTCTGTGACACATACTGAAGTTCACTGTTTGTGATTTCTAGGATAACATCTGGATTTCAATCTGTAAGCCCTCCAATGTGTGTGAGTTACTTCTGTGAACATTCTTTCAGATTTTCCCAAAGGTTAAAATCACACAAGATGGTACACCAGGATTTTTGTGGCTTAAAAAACAGATCCTTAGAGATACTGGTTTCCTGGAACAATTGACAAAACTACTTTTTGGGGGAGCTACATTCGAGTCTTAGTTTTGATTTACAAACATATTTGTCTAAGATTTCTTCTAACATAATTCTCAACAAGAAACAGGAGTTTCAATATTGTAAACATATTTGTCTAAGATTTCTTCTAACATAATTCTCAACAAGAAACAGGAGTTTCAATATTGTATCTCATCTTGGTTCAACACAAAATACCCAAGTGCTCACACCTGGGTGATCACAAGAATGTGCAGTAATTGATGGAAATGAGCTGTATATTTATTACAATGGCAGCTGTGTCGCAGCAGACTCGCCTTATGCCAACATATGAGTCAGTGCACGCAAACTGCCAATCAGCTAAATGATCATTCAAACAAAATGCCATTAGCTGCTGGTTGAACCTCTCTGTAATCCATCATTTGCAAATAATTACCCTAAGCATGTCCTGTGCATATCACATGCACCTGCCGAATGCAGTGTGGCAAACTTCAGCTATTTGCCACAGCCGCTCCATCATTCCATTTTGTACCTAATTGAACTTGGCAAGAAGGTCACCTCTCAACCAACCCAATCTGGCCAGATACTGGACTTGCAATAATTGTCAATTCTGAATAAAAGTAAATCAAAGTAAGTTGGTAAGATGGTTGCAAATGACTGACTGTACAACCATATAGAAGCCATAGTTATGAAACATCAGAAATGCTCTGTGCCGGGATCATTCCTCCAATGCAATGACCGACTCATACAGCCTCCAGATCCACAAATCACTGTGCGAGAGTGCCCATTGGGTCCCATGCTGGGAGGACAATAGGTTTCATTGTAAAAACATCCATTACATCTGGTGATACAAATTTCTTGTCTACCACAACCTCAAACACAAATTCCATGAACCAATCACTGCTCATTACCAGGTAGCCTTTCTCACCACGTTCATCACCCCATGAATTCTCCACACGGAACTTGGTTGGATTTCCCGCTGACTGAAAACCAACAAAACATATTAAAAAAAAAAAAGGATATAACACTTCATCTATCACAGATTTAGTATTTTGCCAGAATGAATGATTTTTAAAGGTTGCAATTATAAGCCTATTAATGTTTTCAAATTTCCAATTTTCAGATCATGGAAATTATGAAATTTCTTCTGAGTTCCTTCAGTTTTCTTCTGCTAATGATCATTCAACCATTACTCCATGCTCATCCGGCAGTGCTCCCTCAAGTGTGTGATAGCCCTGCCCAGGCAGTACACTGTCAATCCCCAATCTTGATGGTGGGGTATTTATGACTGACCTGACATTTGGCTGGTTACAGGAGGAGGAAGATTAAGTTCTTAAATTCAAGTTACTCACATTCAAACTGACAGCAGTGAAAGCCATAGCATGAGACATCATGGATTCACCATACAAAAGCCTCTCTGCCTTGGTGAGGCCCAGGGTCACATCAACGCCAAACACGAGATTGTAGTCATGCCTGAGGACACATTTCTTATGTCAGTCAACAATACATTCTGCCCCTTCTTCCTGCACTGCTGAGTCACTAACTCAACGCTTCTCTAATGCCTTCGTTACCAGACTTCATCATTCCTTAAATAATAAGTACATGCAAATCCTCATGCAATGCGAGGCCCTGAACAAGGAAGAAGGTTAACCCAGATGCAGAATTAGTGACAGAAGTACTGTCAGGAAAGTTCAAAACTACAAAACTTCGTAAAAAGGAGAAATGGTGTTTGAGGACACTTTTGGACTTCATTCATCATCTTAGCTACCAGTATAAAAGCCACTATATTCTAGAAATGAATTCTATTCTGACTTCTTCTGGATAGAACAGAAGAGATTCCCAGTCTTTTGGGGTCCCTTGGCAGAGCCACAACACAGTATGAACCTTTTCATTTCCTCTCCACCTGAAAATGGGAAACCATAACTTCAGGCACTTTAAATGCGAGTTCACCTGAAATTCTGTGTAAATAATTTTAACTCCCATACATTTTGGATTAAAATGTTTTATTTCATTTTCTGGACAGCTACAGAGTGATCTTGCTCTTTATCTGTAATCTTATTCCCCTAACAAATGTTTCTGAACCTTTACCATCTGCACATCATATTATTACAATGGCTCATATGGGGTCCAGCTGGCCAAGCATTGCATAGTGTGTTCAGTTAAGGAGGAGACTTCGCAACACCGCTGACCTGGCCCAACATTCTTCACAGATTGCTACTGTAACTGCTGATAGCAGAATGAGTCATTAGCGCTGATAAATGTGCACTGTTACCATTACAGTTACAGTAGCAATCTGTGAGGAATACTGGGCCCGGTCAATGGTGTTGCAAAGTTTCCTCCTTGATTGAACACCCTGTATTTTTCCCAGTGCTAGCCCCAAATTAATACTTGGCCACCAGCCCTATGGAATCAGAAGATTTACGGTCCCTATCCTTGGACAATAAAGATTAAGGGTAAGATATGACGTACTCATGACTGAGTGTGAATATTACAGTCTTACCTGTTGCAATATCATGCAATTTGGTGGACAAATACAAATGTTTCAGAGAAACCTGGTGCCTCCATCTTCAGGGTACCTCCCCCCACTCTTTTACTCTTCTACCTTGAAGATAGGGGCAACAGGATCCTTTGAAACACTGGTACCTCTCAATCAAACTACAAGGTTTCACATCCAGGAAGCAGTGATCTTGATTAATATTACATTGTGACATTCAAAGGGATAATCCAGATTGGGAGCTGAATGCAAGGTTCACAACCCTGCTCTGTAACAAAATTAATCAAGGAATCCCAAGAAGGGAAAACTGGATGCAATCAGGCAGATTATTCTAACGAAGGCTATGGCTCAAAAAGGGCTGTTCTGCTGACGATGATGATGACACTCAAATTGAAAGAGAAGAAACATGATGGCACTTACACTTTTAGGTCCTCGATGCCCTGCTTGCCTGCAAAGCGCTTGGCCACCTCACATCCAAACCAGACTGGCTCACGAGACTTGATGGACTCAGCAGCAAGCTTCATAAGCAGTTCTACAGGCTGGTTGTTGTAGATTACAGGCCGCCCATCAACCACATTGCCAAGATACTCGACTGTGTAAGCCTTGCCATAAGGGTTTGTAGGGCGAGGATCTGTCACGAGGCAAACCTGACAACCCAAACTAGCCTAATGATATCACGTAGTTAGAAGAACCAAGACAGAGCATTATCAGTGTCAAACCCATGGATCTCATGGCAGTGACCATGAGAGTACTGTCTTCTGGGACATCATGTCATAACATTTTGCCCAGTGTGCAATGCCCTTTCTGTTCAGGATTCTTCTTTTCACGCCCATCTGTATTCTGCCTGCAGCCCCTGTTGCTCTCTGCGCCTACCTAAACCTCCCACTGGTCACTTGCCGCACTATGTCTCCCATCTCTAATGGGACAAAAATGGCCTATTTAACCCGTTGCCGTGGTTCGTCGTGTATGTTTCGTCAGGGATTTAAATCGTCTGGGGGGGTTCGACGTGTATGTTTCGTTCAGCTGCACACCTATGTTATAACG